GGTCTGTGCAGTGTCCTATGACATCTACATGTATGTACCAAGTGTCATTGAAATGTGATGATTACTACTTGAAATATCAAAAGCTGAAAATTAATTAATTATGCAAATTAGGTAATTAATATGTACTCATATTACCTTAAAAACTATCAGGTCTGTGCAGTGTCCTATGACATCTATGTACCAAATTTCATTGAAATGTGATTACTACTTGAAATATCAAAAGCTGAAAATTAATTAATTATGCAAATTAGGTAATTAATTTGTACTCATATTACCCTAAAAACTATCAGGTCTGTGCAGTGTCCTATGACATCTATGTACCAAATTTCATTGAAATGTGATGATTACTACTTGAAATATCAAAAGCTGAAAATTAATTAATTATGCTATAATAAATTAGGTAATTAATATGTACTCGCATTACCCTAAAAACTATCAGGTCTGTGCAGTGTCCTATGACATCTATGTACCAAGTGTCATTGAAATGTGATGATTACTACTTGAAATATCAAAAGCTGAAAATTAATTAATTATGCAAATTAGCTAATTAATATATACTGATATTACCCTAAAAACTATCAGGTTTGTGCAGTGTCCTATGACATCTATGTACCAAGTTTTATTGAAATGTGATGATTAGTACTTGAGATATCAGTGGAAAAGCCAAAAATTGATTAATCATTATGCAAATTAGGTAATTAATATTGCACAGATTTTTACCCAAAACTAATCAAATCTGCGCATTAGTTTGGAGCATCTGTGTGCCAAGTTTCATCAAAATCCAATGAGTGGTTCTTTAGATATCAGTGGAACAGTGATGGAACAGCTAAAAATCAGCTAATTATCATGCAAATTAGGTAATTAATATGCATGGATTTTTACCAAAACCTAATCAAATATGCGCATTGGCCCAGAGCATCTATGCACCAAGTTTCATCAAAAACTGATGTATGGTTCTTGAGATATCAGTGGAACAGACGGACGGACACACATACATACATACACACACACACACACACATACACACACACACACACACATACAGACACACTAACTGCAAAGACTCCTTTTTGTGCTTCGCACACGGGAGTCAACAAAATGTCAGGCATTAGCAACTGACCATAAAGTGATATCAATAATTAGTTTGCATGAAATCAGTCAAGGTATGCCTAAGAAACTGTGGAGATTACATGTCCAATTGTTGATGTTTTTTGAGACAAACTGGCTATCAGAAAGCAGTCTTCCAAAGTTCAACAAAAAATAAACCAACATGTATAATTATGTATTCCATTATGACTTGTCTTAGTACCAACTTTGACCAAAATTGGTTCACATATGCCCGAGAAATGATGTTGAACAACACTCACTTATTATAGACACTCAGATTAAATTAATATCTGCTCCATATTTTTAATGAGCATATTTGTGACCCCTCAAATGCCTGTATATTAGCATCTGGTGAGATACACATAGTTTTGTCTATGAATCTCCAGACTTGAAGGCACTGTAGCAAAATCATCCCCACAGCACAAGCACAGGGGATTAAAAATAACGAAGAAGGTGGCCATGTAAAATGATGTCCAGCCTTAAAATAGGAATGGGAATGGGAATGGGGGGGGGGGGCACTGGAATCCCAAGAGCGCACCTAAGATTAAAAGTGATCAAAGAGATCAATCCTCATGAAAGTATGCATTTGTAGGTAGGAGGGAACACTCAGTTGTACTGAAAATTCAAGCCATACAACACATCAGTTGATTGGCTATACCTACTTCTAACATTTAACAGTTGAACCAATGAGAGAGCAGTTTAATTATTTGTCAATGTATCAATTGAATTCTGCCTTGTATATATGATTCAACTCAACTAAAATATAGACCCATGGTGCCCATGTTGTGTCATTAAGGTATACTTTAATGGCCATGGCTTTAATTGTACACCGGTAAACTATTAATTGCTTTAAGTGGTCATAACTGTGGTGATAACTTGTTAGTTTGCAATTTGGATGCAACTTACGCATTGATGTAGATCCCTCTGACACTTCTGGTAGTGGTAGTGTATTCAGTGGCGGTGACGGTGGTGGTGGTGGTGGTGGTGGTGGAGGTGGCAATGGTGGTAATTGAGGCATGGGAGGTAATGGTGGTGGAATCAAGATTGGGGTGACATTTGATTCTTCATGGTGAGCATTATAGTCACTGAGTTCTATAGAACAAAGACATTTACAACAAATAAACATACAATGCATTCTGAGAACAAATGTGCATATAGAAATGTATATGCATTATGAAAAATTAGCAAACAATACATTGAAGAACAAAGACATTTACAACAAATAAACATACAATACATTCTGAGAACAAAGATGTGTACAGAAATGTATATGCATTATGAAAAATTAACAAACAATACATTGAGGAACAAAGACATTTACAACAAATAAACATACAATGCATTCTGAGAACAAAGATGTGTACAGAAATGTATATGCATCATGAAAAAATAGCAAACAATACATTGAGGAACAAAGACATTTACAACAAATAAACATACAATGCTTTCTGAGAACAAATGTGCGTACAGAAATGTATATGCATTATGAAAAATTAGCAAACAATACATTGAGGAACAAAGACATTTACAACAAATAAACATACAATGCATTCTGAGAACAAATGTGCGTACAGAAATGTATATGCATTATGAAAAATTAGCAAACAATACATTGAAGAACAAAGACATTTACAACAAATAAACATACAATGCATTCTGAGAACAAATGTGCATACAGAAATGTATATGCATTATGAAAAATTAGCAAACAATACATTGAAGAACAAAGACATTTGCATATGCATTACTATGGAGATAAGTAAACACACAAAATAATTTATTCAGGAATACAAGAGCTATGTTAATGCAGAGAACTAAAACTAAGTTTACATACACATGTTAATTCTTTATGTTATGCGCTAAATCAAACTCACTTTTAAAACTTAAATTACATTTTTCATGAAGAATATAGCTTCAATATTACATATTATTTAAACTTTATGCAATTTTAATTAAAAGAGCAAATATGATATACAGAAAAATGTGCAGAGGTGTATATGCTTAGATTGTCATCTGAACATGCTAGGTTAGCCTTACCAGAGATAGACTTAAAAGCAAGAGGGTGGTCACCTGCACACATGCAGGATTTGAGTCCCAAGCAACAATAACAACACACCCTAAAAATGCAAAGGCTCATGTTTGTAAACAAAGACACGCTATGGCCATCTGACGCATGCACAGGTGACGACTCCCTCGCCTTAACCAAAATAGTAGATCTACAATGAACAATTTGAGCTACTGATGAATCTATTGCAGATGATGATGTATCTCCTATTGAAAATTAAGCCATGATAAACTGATCAACAATTTGCATTTATGTGTCAATTTTACCAAGATTGGGCAAGTGGGCAAAACAGTTTACAATGCTCTGAATAATATGTTGCAAAGAATATAGTGCATTTCCAATCAACAAACTAGAACTACATTGTATAATTAATGGCTTCAAGAAAAGACAAAGAAAGCTTAAAAAGAACTCCCGTGTTCCAAATTTAGTCTTCAAACAAGAAGCTTGGTGACTAATACTGGTCTGCTATTTGAGATGCACAACATGAAAAAAAATTTTCTGGTTTGTAGTCGGATTTCCTTTAGAGCACCTTTACAAGCTCAATTTTTAAATCTGATTTTTTGAGATATCATAAATTGACTGATAAAAACTGAGTAATCACTATGCATGGTTTTCAACATTAAACTGATCACGTCTGAATTACCCCAGTGAATCTATATATCAAATTTTATTGAAATGTGATAATTATTTTAAGTTAATTAGTGTGCCCAAATTTCAATCCAAAATTAATCAGGTCTTTACATTGTCCCAAGTCTTATTGGTTTTTGAGATATAGGTGGAAAATTACTCAATTATTACGTGTATTGCAAATTAAGTCATTAATATGCATGCAGATTTCAGATTTGTGAATTGTTCCGGGCACCTATGTACCAAATTTCATTTTAATGTGATGATTAGTTCTTAAGAAAATCAGTGGAAAAGCTGATAATTAAATTATTCTGCAAATTAGGAAATTATTATGAATGCATTCGAACCCAAACTTATTAGCTTGTCTTAGAGCATTTAAACACCAAGATTTCTTGAAATACAATGGAAAAGCTGGAGACTGTGCAAACTATATGCACAGATTTTACCGTTAAGCTACCTGTAACCAGGTCTGCGCAATGTCACAGACCATCTATGCACCATCTAGTTTCATTGAAAAGTGAAGATTAGTACCGGTATGTAGTACCACGTCGTCCTTGCCATGATGTTGGTCAAAGGCGACCAATATCATGGAATAGACGGCTAAGACGCTTGTACGCTGAGGCTCTCGATCCCCCTACTTTTTCTCGCATATCAGTCTCTTGTGTCATTTCTAGTGCGTTAACTTGAAATATCAGTGGAAAAGTTGATTATTATGCAACATTGCACAATTTTTAACCCAAAACTAATCAGGTGTGCACCTATGTACCAAGTTTCATTGAAGTCTGACCATCGCTTCATCAGATATCCATGGAACAGATGTACATACACAGATACATACACACAGACAGGGTAACTGCAAAGACTTCCATTGTGTGCTTCACACATGGGAATCAAAGACTGCATGTAGAAAAGATGGTGGATTTTCCAAACACACCCAGTATCTAAATTGCTGTAAAAATTCAATTCATTTATGGTAGTAAAAAAGGATAGAAAATTAGATTATAAGATAAAGTTCAGTTTATTTAATGTGAATGAATTGAGCATTTAATGTAAAGCAAAAACTCATAAACAATAGGAAGAGTGATCAAAAAAGGATTATTTGCAAATGCGGTATAGGCCTTTTAACCACCAGTTCTCAAATTCACAAAATAATCCCATTTATAGTCTGCACTTTCCTTCAGAAAATTTGGACAAAAATGGCAACATATTTTGAGTAAAAACTGTAAATTTTGTCAGTTGACTCCAAAGTCAGGGTTCATCTTTTCAAAAATATTGAAGAATATAAGATAAAGTGCAGAAAAATTTGAGCGAGAAAGTTTGGTGGTGAAAAGGTTAAAGAGTCAAGAATTGGCAGTAGCAAGATTATGATCAGCATCAGAAGACTGTTGACTGACCTTGACTGCTGCCACTACGATTTGTTCTGAGAAGTGGATGGTCGGGATTGAGTGTAATTAATGGCTCGGAACACCTTCGACAGCGACCTGATGTTAAATTGATGAATATTTAGGTATGAACTGAACACAAATGAGTGCACTTGCACACGAGTTCTTTCCTTACAAATATGAATACTTACTTCGTGGTGGTGGTGGTGGTAGCGGTACATTACGTGGTGGTAAGGCCGGTTGGTTCTGATAATTATTATAAAGTTCACTGAGATTGGGTGCTCTAGTGGCAGGTTCTGAAACTCTTCTTCGTCTTGGTTGTTGTGCAGCAGCTGGTATAAAATAAAGTTCAAAAAAACCTCATGATATCTTACTCGTTTGAGTGCCTCAAAATTTCCTGCCAAGATTTTGGTGCAACGTTTTACCTGTTTTCTTGCACTTTTCTGTAATTTGATGACAAAAGTTATATTTAGCACGGGG